AGAGTAGGCCGGGCGCGGTGGCTCACACCTGTAATCCTTCAGGAGGATTGCTGGAGCCCAGGAGTCTCTAAAAAATAACATAAAAAAATAAAAAAAGTTAAAGATTAAAAATACACTTGCCTCTCCCCAAAAAACGGACTCCAGTCCAGTCATGAGAAGAACATGAAATGGTTGACGGGTGTGGCGCCCAGATCCGTAATCTACATAAATCCTGATCCTCCGGCCTCCGGACGTGGAATTCTGAGAGACGGTGGGAGCCTGGGGCCACCGAGGAGATGCTGCGGCCAAAAGCCAGGTTCGGTCCTGGGTGAGACCCTGCGCAGGAAGAGACGTTAGGAGAAACTGAGGAAATCCGAGCCAAGCGTGGGCCTTAGGAGTTAGTGATCACGCATCCCTGAGTTCATCCGCTGTGACTCCCACTGACTGGAGGGGGGAGTGGCCGGGAGCCCGGGGGCGGGGACACGGGGGTCCTGTGGATGCCGGGACCCCGTGCCACCTCCACATATCTCCTGCAGACCGAAAATGGTTCTAAAATTTAAGTCTATTAAAACGTTAACCCGGCTGGGCATGGTGGCTCCTACCTGTAATCCGAGCACTTTGGGAAGCTGAGGCGGGTGGATCATTTGAGGTCAGTTCGAGACCAGCCTGGCCAACATGGTGAAACCCCGTCCCTAGTAAAAATCCCCCAAAATTAGCTGGACGTGGTGGTGGACCCCTATGATCCCAGCTACTTGGGAGGCGGAGGCAGGAGAATCACTTGAAACCGGGAGGCGGAGGTTGCGGTGAGATTGCACCACTGCGCTCCAGCCTGGGCTACAGAGAACTGTCTACAAATAAAATTAAAAAACAAAAAACCATTAACGAGCTGGGCACAGTGGCTCCTGCCTGTAATCGCAGCACTCTGGGAGGGCGAGGCGGGCAGACTGCCTGAGGTCAGCTATTCCAGACCAGCCTGGTCAACACCGCGAAACCCGTGTTTCTATTAAAGTCTCTACTGAAGGTCGGGCGCGGTGGCTCAAGCCTGTAATCCCAGCACTTTGGGAGGCCGAGACGGGCGGATCACGAGGTCAGGAGATCGAGACCATCCTGGC